CTATTCCATGGGCCTGGGCCTGGAGCTGCAGCTCCATCAGCCCCTATGTTAATCCGGCCCAGAATATATGAACATCTCTTTGCTGCCCTGGAGGATATACAAAGTTGGAACAACTTGAAGATAAGATGTGTCTTGGAGTACAATCCAGAGGCAGAGTCACAACATTTTTAAAGCTGTTTGCTGGTGGCCTTACTGTTGCCCAGATCAGCCAAGGCACCAAGAGACTTCATCAAGAGACCTGAAGGTCCACTTTCGAAACAGAAGAGATAAAGCATTTCGTCTCCCCTCAGGGGCAACTCCATTGATCATTTTCAGATGACACTTTTTGAGGTGACATCATTAACATTTTCAGCAATTTGAGCTACTGCAGCTCTCCTGTGTGATTGGACCAGACAGGCTGCTCTTAGCTTACCATCAGCCTTGGGCACCCATGACACTGACTGACCCTGATGCCAGTTCACCAATTGACCTTCCTTACAACAGTCATTTTTCTATTTGCACTGTGTTTTTTTTATTTTTTATTATTGTGTTTCAACTCATCACAATCGTTTTGGCACCTAGCTGGATGCTCTCAGAGAGACTTCAAATTCTAGACATGAATAGGCACCATACTGCTAAAATCCACAAGGTTGAAACTGTACAGTACACTGCTGGTTCTGGTCGCTGGTTATTTCTTATCATAACCCATTCTATGGTTTAAAAAACAAAGTTCATTGCTAAAGGCAGGGCCGGATTAACATAGGGGCTGATGAAGCTGCAGCTCCAGGCCCAGGCCCAGGCCCATGGTATAGGCCCATTGATTTAAAAAAAAAAAAAAATAATAATAATATATATATATATTTTTTTACATTTTGTTTTTCACACACTACTCTTAGGGATTCCACCTGGCTTTTATTTTATTGGCACAGCCAGTATTTGAGGCTGCCTGTCTGGTGCCAATATTGCAGTGATACTGGCAATACAAATGCTGGTATTTTTCTCAGTATTAACAAGAGATTACTCTGCAATACCAGCACTGGCCTGTAGGGGTCGCTGTATGTGGAGACAGGCAGGGATAGGAAGTTCCAGCATTTCCCTCCCTGCCTATCTATACTCACTGATCTGCAGGGGTGCAGCTACAGAGAGTCCAGACAGCAACTCCCACCCTGCAGAGACAGCCTACAGCTCAGGGAAGTAAGGGATGGGGGGAAAGGCTGCAAGGAGACATACACTGAGACACTAAGGGACACTGGGAGATATTATGGCAGACACTGAGACACTAAGGGACATTGGGAGACATTATGACACAGACACATGGGGACACAGTGTCCCCATGTCTCCCAGCCAGTGTCCCTGGTGTCTCAGTGCCCCCTAGTCTCCCAGTGCCCCCAGTCTGCCAGTGTCTCACTGTCCCCATGTCTCCTAGTGTCTCCATGTCTCTCAGTGCCTCAAGTGTCACAATGTCCCCATGTCTCCAAGCTAGTGTCCCTAGTGTCTGTGGCCCTGGTGTCTCAGTGTCCCCATGTCTCCCAGTCCCCCCATGTCTCAATGTCCCCATGTCCCCCAGCCAGTGTCTCTAGTGTCTGTGTCCCTTGTGTCTGTGTCCCCATGTCTTCAAGTGTCCCCTATTTTCCCATTGTCCCCATGTGTCCCAGCCAGAGTCCCCTAGTCTCCCAGTGTCACTGGTGTCTCCGTGTCCCTAGGTCTCCCCGTGTCCCCAGGTCTCCCAGTCTTCCTAGTGTCCTAGTGACATGGGGACCCTGGGATACATGGGGACACAGGGAGACATGGGGCACTGAGACACTGTGATACATAGGATCACTGGGAGACCTGGTGACATGACACTAGGGGACACTGGGAGACATGGGGCACTGAGACACTGATACATAGGAACACTGAGACCTGGAGTAATCGACACATGGGGCACTGAGTCATGAGGGCACTGGGAGACATGGGGGCACTGGGAGGAATCCATCTATACAGCAGAATCAAACTATCAAAGTAGTTTTTTGGTGATTTTACAGCATTTTCTCTTATGTCACTCCTTGTGATTTACATCATGTGATGTCACCCATACATATTTAATTATGCAAATTAGTAAGGCAGGTACGTTTTTCCAGGAAAGGTGGCAACCCTAACTACTTTTCACATACTCTTACTTAAGTATGGAAACTTAAGAGGGATGTATGGGAACAAAACATGTGTGGACTGGCTGACAATGAATATAGTTAAAGGGACACTATAGTCACCAGAACAACTACAGCTTACTGAATTTGTTCTGGTGAGTAGAATCATTACCGTCAGGCTTTTTGCTGTAAACACGGTCTTTTCAGAGAAAATGCAGTCTTTACATTACAGCCTGGTGATAACTTCATTGGCCACTCCTTAGATGGCTGTAGAGATCCTTCCTCGGTAATGGCTGCCTAAAATGCATCCAAACATTCAGCGTCTCCTCCCTCTGCATGCAGACACTGAACTTTCCTCATAGAGATTCATTAATTCAATTCATCTCTATAAGGAGATGCTGATTGGCCAGGGCTGTGTTTGAATCATGCTGGCTCTGACCCTGATCTGCCTCTGTGTCAGTGTCAGCCAATCCTATGGGGAAGCACTGTGATTGGATCAGGCCTCCACTTCTAATGATGTCAGCAGACTGCTTGTTTTTATGAGTCTAACAGCATGCAGAGTTACAGCTTCAGGCTTGAATATAGTAAGATTTTGCTATATTTATGGAGGCATGAGGGGCCCAGGGGGGCTAGATGGTAGTGTTAACACTATAGGGTCATGAATTCATGTTTGTGTTCCTGACCCTATAGTGACCCTTTCTTCTACATTCACTACATACAGCTTTACTCTGTCCCAGACTATATACCAGGAGCTTCTGCCTGCTACTAAGAAGGTAAGGAGACAAGTGGACCAGCGAGTGCTAGTGGACAGTCCTTAGAAAGCGTTGAGTGAGCGCATCATTAGATGCATTTATGCCAAGCTCAGGGTGCTGTTTGCATAGTATGCCCTTAGTTGGCCAGCTGCATGATTGGCAGGCAGCCTGACATGCATTTATGCCAGGCTGGCCTTCTAATTCTTTGGGCAGACATGTCCTCTTTTTGGACATGTTCGCCCCTTTACGTGATTTGTGTCAATGGAACACCCTTTCACCTTCCTGCTTGACTGGACACTGCTTTTAAGGGGTTATGGATTTACTTGAAAGATGAAAACATAAATTAGAGAGAGATTAGCCTAGGGTATGTGTTTTCTTATAGCTGCTGTTTTCTATCTCTCCAGCACCATCTCCATCAGATACATGACGCTTGTGAGTGTTTTACTGTTTTTGGTAGATATGATTCTGTAATTAGGCCCGTCATAATTGTCAGCACCAGGCCCACTGGGCTCTTAATCTGGCCCTGCCTAAAGGTATCTGCAGAACTGCATGGTCTGAAAGTCTGAAACACAGTTGCTGTCTGTGCTCATTTGCTTATCAAGCTACTCTGAATAGTTGTAGAAATGTGATTCTTGGGTATCTGTGCCCAAGGAGGATTTTCCAAAGTTCAACTTAAGATATGCAGGTGATTCACAACAGTAATACATCTATCTCTCCTTGGCAGAACTAATATCCTTTCATGGCATCAATTCTTTGTATACAACATCAAGATCTTTTTCTCTATCCTCTCCATCACAGATGCCTTTTGGATGATTTCCCACTTTCTGCAAATTGACCTATCCAAAATAGAAGAAATATGCTTCCCTATCTCTTTCCCCTGCACTTGCCCCTCCTTTTTGTTTTCTTTTGTTTTCTTTTCAGTTTGTATGTAACGTTGTTGTTCTTAGTTGAGTAATGTACTGTAATTGTTCTTTAGTCTAACATGATTTATCCCTTTAAATATTATACCTACCTATGCCCTCAATTTATTTTTGGACACATTTTTCAACTGAATAAAGGGTTATAAACTCTTTATTTACTTAACTGTTTCCAGCTCTGATGTCCCTCAATGCTGAGTTGGCACTCCACTTCCTCTGGCATCATCCGATGGCGGGACAAAAGTGCATGCGCCGCAAGCACATTAGGCCCTCCCCATAAGAAAGCACTGAATCGGTGGTTTCCTGTGAGGTTTGTACTGATGCTGAATGTACTCAGGCAGAGCGTGAGGACGTCCAGCGTCAGTTAGGTAACCTAAAGTCCAGTTAAAATCCCTGAACTGCCTCTAGTTTCTGTCTTAGTGCTGCACTGTAAACATTGCAGTTTGTCCTCCGGGAGGCATAACCACCTAGCAAAGCTAGTGGGTATGCGGCAGCCTCCCGGAGTCAAATGCCAGAGCTGAAAAGGCTCGCGCTGTGCATCTGCACAGCAACAGCCTTTCAGCCAATCAGGTAATCAGGAGAGCTGTGCTGAGCGCGGGAATCCTGATTACCTCAGATTTTTTAAAATGGCATCATTGATGGAGGACTCTATTTCTGTGTCTGCCACAGATTTAGTGGATGCCTCTCTTAAAGGCAGCCCCATCAATGTTAGAAAGCTCCATAAGAGAGCTTTCCTTGCCAGGGATCTATCCTCTTCATCATCTGAGGAGGATTTGGTCCCAGTTTTAAATAAAAAGCATAAAGGAAGACGGCTGGTCTCTTCCGCCAGTTCCTCGTCTGAGGAAAACTTCTCCGCTCCTCCTTCCCCTCATACTCGTTTGAGTAAGCGAAAATTTAAGGGGACAGGACCTCAAAAAAGGAATAGCGTGTTTCCCTCGTTTGAGCACCAGAAACACCTCCCAGAGGAAAAGGGCAAATCTCGTTGGAGGTTAGATAGTCCCTCTCCTTCCTCTTCTAGAGCGTTCGCTCACTCTTCTTCCCAAAGCCGTCCCAGTTCCAGATACGGCTCTCCAGAAATAGACTGGGAATCCGAGGAAGTGGTTCGTTCAGCAGCTTCCACTGAGCGAGGGAAGCTAAGCAATGTTCAGATGGCCAGAGTAAGTCTCCTAGGAAAGACTCTCCCATCAAAATTATTTCACTCCAGATGGGCTATGGAGCACGATTCCGAGGTTAGAGATTTTGCTAAACTAGCCTTCAGATCCCCCTTGGTTAAGGAAGATGACCTTCTCCTCAGGAACCACATCGGTATCCCGGACATTCAGGCTCTAATGGCCCCAGAGGTAGACCCTTCGCTGTTATCCATCACAGGGAGCAGCGTATCCTCTGATCCCACAGACCAGACTTTTCGCAATATACAGTTTAAAATTGCTGATGCTGTGGGACCACTATTACTGATGCTGGATAAAGCAGAAAAAGAAGGCAATGCTCAGAAACCTTCCACTTCATCCCTGTTAGCATCTAAGATGGCCCTTTTAAAAGCGTCTGGCAGGGCAGTGCTAATTATTGGCCAATCCTTTAATTACATTTCAAACATCCGCAGATCCCGCTGGCTCCATGCAGCTGGTCTGTCCGACCTAGCCCCCAAATCGCATGAGTTCCCAAATTTGGAGGATTCTTACCTATTCGGTCCCTCGTTCATTCAGGAGGTTAAAGGCCGTTACAAGGCAAGGAGATCCTTTTCAGAACTCAAGAAGTCCGTCCCTGGCTACAAGAAGCCCTTTCGGACGGAGGGTCGCCCCTATAGGGCTGCAGGAGCGTCCCGAGAAGCCTCTCACCAGGCCCAGTACCGCCACTACAGTGGAAGACATAAGCTCCCAGGCGGCGGCAGAGGAGCGCATTCCAGAGGCGGTTCAGCTTCCAAAAGGAAACCCATGCATTCAAGTAAGTGTGCCTCCTCATATGCCACTAAATTGGAAGGATATTTCCTCAGACAAATGGGTTCTAAAGATCTTTCAAAGGGGTTTACAACTCCCCCTGTTAAGGTTCCCAGTCCAGAAATTTGCACCCCACAGAGAGGTGAACCCAGTGCTAGATGCCTCCCTTTCCTTAGCTTTAAGTCAAGGAAAAATAGAGTTGGCAGACATGTCTATTACAGGATGGGTCAGCCCATTGTTCCCAATCCCAAAGTCAGACGGTTCCTGGAGACCGGTCCTAAATGTGAGGCCTCTGAACGCTTTCATCAAAAGGAAAAGGTTCAGGATGGAGAGTCTATCAGATCTTCCAGGCTTAGTTCAGAAAGCCTTTTTCTGCATAAAAGTAGACCTAAAAGATGCCTTCCATTCAGTCCCCATAGCCAAGAAACACAGGCGTTTTCTCAGGTTTCAGTGGAAAGGAAAGGTGTGGCAGTGGACTGTTATGGTGTTTGGCCTCTCCAACGCACCATACACATTCTCCAGAATTATGAAATCAGTGATAGCTCATGTCAGACTAAAAGGTTTCATGTGTCTATACTACCTAGACGACATCCTGCTCATGCACCCAGATGGGGAAGCCCTTGCTTCTCAAAGGGATTACCTTGCTTCCCTTTTACAAGACCTAGGATTCGTAGTAAATCTACAGAAATCAGTCCTAATTCCCACTCAAAGCATCCTCTTTCTGGGTTTCATACTGAACACCAGGACTATGTCCCTTGGAATCCCTCAAGACAAATGGGACAAATTATTGGTACATCTGAACTCATCTCTCAAGCACCAGAGTTGGTCCTTGAGAGACCTAGCAAAGATCATAGGGAAATTAATAGCTTTAACACCAGCATACAACAATTCCCCCTTACTTTGCAGAAGAAGTCAGCTGTTTTTAGGGAACCGACTGAGACAGGGTGGCCATTGGGAATCAAAATTTGTTCTCCCCAAGAAGGTCAGAGAAGAATTGAAGTCCATTCTGGAGTTAGAAATTCTATTTCCTCGTCCACTGTTAGAGCAGCCTGCGACAGTCACTCTGACGTCAGATGCCTCAAGTCACGGTTGGGGTGCGTTTACAACCCAAAACGCCATAAGAGGAATCTGGTCAGACCAAGAGAGTCACCTCCATATAAACATCTTGGAGTTACGAGCTATAAAATTAGCTCTCAAGGGCCTAGTTCCTCTAAACGAGTCACCGACATTGGTAAAAGTCCATTCGGACAACAGGACAGCGGTGGCTTATATAAACCACAGAGGGGGTACAAGATCAAGGGGTCTTTGCTTAGAGGCTCTAGATCTTTGGTCCTGGGCCTTAGCAAGCAATGTTCAGGTTTTCGCAGAATATGTTCCGGGAGAGGCGAACGAGCTTGCAGACTCTCTCTCTCGCCAAAGTTTGTCCCTGGCAACGATCCAATTAAAGATTGCTCTTTTCCAAAAGATAGAAAGCAATTTTGGCCAGAGACAGGTAGATCTGTTTGCATCCCAAACATCCGCTCAAACTCCCAGGTTCGTCTCCCGGACCTGGACAAAGGGAGCTTGGAAAATGGATGCAATGTCTTTCCAATGGACGGATGTTCCAGCCCCTTATGCTTTCCCCCCTCCATCTTTACTGATGAAAGTGCTGGAGAAGATCCGCAGGGACAGGGTGCAGAGCTTAGTTCTCGTTTACCCAGTATGGACCTCCAGACCCTGGTATCCCTTGATCCATCAGTTAGTCAAGGGAACCAAGATCCCATTAGGCATGACAGTGGACTGCTTTCAGGGAACCAGCGATCTTCTGCTCAAGCTCCCGCAGCTGATGTGGATCGCAGCCCTGGTAGGCTGTTAACACATCCCCACTTATCGGACCAGGTCTTGGATATTATTAACTCATCTTTAAGACGTAGAACTAGGGTAAGATATAGAAAGATGATCGAGGAATTCAAAGAATGGGAGGTTTCTTTTCTGTCTAACACACAAGGATCTGATACCATTCCTTTGGCGTTAGAATTTCTTACCCTTAAGTTCCATTCTGGTTTATCTGTCAGTTCAATCAAGACCTACGGATCTGCCTTAAACTTCCTGATCCCCAACCTTACTCAGGATGCCCTGTATTTGAGATTACTAAAAGGGTTAGCCGTCTGCCGCCCATATACCCCACGCTACACATCTACTTGGGATGTAGATGTCTTATTAAATTTCCTAAAGTCTTTGGATAATGCTAAAATTGATTTAAGATGGACTGCTATTAAGCTGGCTTCTCTGCTGTCCTTGGCCCTGGCAGCTAGAGGAGCAGAGTTAACTCAGATCCATATTTCAGAACCTTGGTTGTCCAGGACCCCGGGAGGTTTCCATATTATACTAAAAGGCAGACAAAAAACATCCCATTTTTCTCCTGGTCCGGTAGAATTGGACTTGGTCCAAGATTCTTCCGAACCAGGCTTATGTTTAGTCAGTTTGTTACAATCGTACCTTCAACTTTCTGCTGGATTTAGAAACGATATCAGTCAATTATTCATTACATCAAGGAATCCCTTTCGTCCAGCCAAGGTTAATACAATTAGAGGCTGGATACTTTCCGCCATGTCTACGGCTGGAATTGATGTTTCAGTGTTCAAAAGCCATTCAATTAGGGGAGCCTCGGCTACTAAAGCAGCAGGAAAGGGCCTTCCTCTAGCTACTATCTTAAAAGCTGCAAGATGGTTGTCCAGTAAAACCTTTGTTAGATTTTACTGGAGGCCATCAGAAGTTGAACGCCTTCAGTTTCTTAGGACCACCACCAGGTGTGTGCTATTCTACCCACTAGCTTTGCTAGGTGGTTATGCCTCCCGGAGGACAAATCAGAGTTTGCAGGAATCTATGATCTGCAAACTTTTTTTGTCTTAGGGATGAGCATAACCACCTAGCAATAGCGCCCGTCCCACCCTCCTCCTAGTTAAGGGTTTTGCCTGCTGGTGGTAGTTGGTTTTTCTAAAACATAAGGTTATCTGGTGATTATTCAACCTTTTGATAACTGTTCTCTGTTTTGTTTTTTACAGACTATAGCCGTACTCCAAGACAAGACCAACAAACCAAGGATCCACCTAAGTAGAAGGATTGGATGCAAGTAGTCTCGTCGGTTTAATATTCTCATGGACTCCCTGCATAAAGATTATGTCTGCTGGGACTTGTTTCAACATTTCTTGTCTCTTTTATTGAACTTATTTTGTTGCAACTTACGTTGAATGTTTCCAGTGGTCTTTGGATACTTTCCTTTGGCACACATTGTTGCCTTGTTTTTCAGTTCAGCTGTTTTATACAAAGTTTCAAGTCTATCTTGTATGTCTCCATGACTTATTAAATATTTTCTTGTTCCCCTGTACTATTGGCATCTTGAATTATTTTATTTTGTGTTTAGAAGTTTAATTATATTCCTGTACACTGTGGGAAATATTTATCCTTAGTATTTCATGGGATGTGCTAACCATCCGCAGTTTCCCAATTTTAAAAAATCTGAGGTAATCAGGATTCCCGCGCTCAGCACGGCTCTCCTGATTACCTGATTGGCTGAAAGGCTGTTGCTGTGCAGATGCACAGCGCGAGCCTTTTCAGCTCTGGCATTTGACTCCGGGAGGCTGCCGCATACCCACTAGCTTTGCTAGGTGGTTATGCTCATCCCTAAGACAAAGAAAGTTTGCAGATCATAGATTCCTGCAAACTCTGATTTCTCAAAACTAAGGGGGGCAGGCACACTGCACCCAGACCACTTCATTGAACTGAAGTGGTCTGGATGCCTATAGTGTCCCTTTGATAGTTCTTTCAATATGTGGGTCCTTACAGAAGTCTAAACTTCCCTTTAATATGGGATATTTTTATGTCTATCTTTCCATTCTTCAACATATGTTGCCTCCACATTATTTCCCGAGGAATTCACAGCACTGAAGTAAGGGAGTTCCTTGAAATTTATGACGTGCTCTTGATGATGCTGGTTTCTTCACATTACTTTCAATAACCATAGCCTTAAATCCTCAAAAGATTCTAAGTGATATAGCATATAATCTTTTATATCTCTCTCAAATCCTATATGACTTATTAAGTTGTTTTAATCAGGAATGCAAGATCATTACTATAAAGACTATCATAATACCTGAACCAAAATAAAAATTTTTTTAAATATTTTGTCTTGCTTTCTAAAGCCTAGTCAATATTATATTCTAGAAAAAAAAAAGGGAAATCACTCTCACGCTTAGTGGTGAAGAAAGAATATTGTCAACTATTTCAATTAATGGCAGCTGCAAGGACACATCTAGTTCTACTTGACTGGAATAGACTTTGACAGCAGATAAAACAGGCAGCCCGTTTGTTAACTTATTAACCCAAGTAACCTAATTATCCATCCACAAATGCAAATCAGAGCCAAGAGAACATTTTAGCCATGCAGTTTATGACTGTTATTCTTGCCTTTGAATGCCAGTGAGCTTGTGATAAAATTTTAAAGATCCTTAGTATTTCATAGAAACAGATGCACACATTAGACTCTGGTATTACTATAATTGGAAACCTCTGTCTTCTGCCATAAGTGCCTTCAGCTACGTTCACAAACATTCTGCTGCTCACAGAATCAAATGAATTGACTAGAAGGTGTATACATCTTTGAAAATTTAAATGTTAGTTATAATCTATTTACATTGAACTTGAACATGTTTATTTCCATACTATGTTGATGGTGACAAAGAGCAAATACAAAATAATAATGGGTAGTTCTTGCCATATCTGGTACAAACTATAGAGAAAGAATGTTCTTCTGGGACAAAAAGGGATGGATGGAGTTTCTGTAGCTCACTTCATCATAATGCCCACAAATTATTTAGATTCTTAAGAAAAAAAAAAATCAGATTAATTGCCTTATGACATTACATATGTGATTTTTGGAATTAAAAGGAAAAAAGGAGAGTTTATATAGGACATACCGATACACTTTAGGCAGGGACCAATAACACATCAAGCATAGTAGAAAAGAAGTCCATTGATTATTTTGTGTTTCTTTTAATTATTATTTGCAGTTTTATTAATAATAATAGGAACACTAAAGACATTGGATATAGAAATTAACAACAGCCGAGACGTAGTTTGCAGGTCAAAAAGCTTTGACTTTCCCACCCAACTATCTTTTGGCAAATGTCTGGTGCTTATTTGATATATTTTCTTATCATGGATGTCATTTTTTTTTTGTAGTAGTATCTAATCAGCTGATGAAATGTTCTGCTGAAGTTTAAAACATGAAAAGTTTCTAGCATAAACAAATGCATTGACTACTGCATAATGTATGACATGTTTAGTTTGGAACTGGATGCAACTAATATTTTTTTAAAGAACAACACACATCATTTTATATTGGTGAAATTATATACACATATAAGTGCATTCCTCTGCTTTCTCTCTCATTGTCAGTACAGTAGGGAGTACTAACAGGTACAGTTGTAATTAAAATTATTTTACCCCCATTGAAATTCAGGTTTATTGTCAAAATTGACAGACTTTCAGCTGTTTGCAATAAAAAAAAAAAAAAAAGCAATTGAAATAGCTCAACACAACAAATGTTGGATCCTCAAATTCAACGTAAAATGCAACTTGTAATGACTTCTCCAGTCTCAAAATAATTTTACCCCCTGAATAGAATCCCTCACAAAAGCACACATTTGCAAAACAGGTATTGTCTCAAGCACACCTGATGCAACTAATCAAAGGTTGCATTAGTTGCATCAGGTGTGCTTGAGCTGAAACACTTGAAATACCTTAACTGGCTAGGGTTTTGAGTGTCACATTTGACTGCATGTTAGAAATATGGCTAAGTCAAAATAATGGTCCATAAAGTTAAGAGAAGCGATCATTACCCTTCACAAACAGTGACTGCAACCAGATTTCTGAGAAGGCAGGTTGTGAAAAACCATCGAGTGACTGCAAGAGACCTGCAGCAAGACTTAATGGCAACAGGCACTGAGGTTTCAGTGAGCACAGTAAGATGTATCCTAAACACAGAAGGTTTCCATGCCAAAGCTCCAAGACATACATCACTACTGACCCAAAAGCACAAGAAAAGTTGGCTCCAATATGCTCAAATTCATATAAATAAGCCACAGAAGTTTTGTGACTGTTCTGTGGATGCATCAGTGGGATGTCTAGAGTAAAAGAATGAAGCATACGCTGAAAAGAAAACTCTGCCTGCAGTTAAGCATCATGGTCTGGGAATACTTTGCATTCTCTGGCACTGGAAACCTGCAGCATGTGGAAGGCAAGAATAATTATTTGAACTATCAGGAAATCCTAGGTGAACACGTCATGCCATCTGTGAGGAAGCTGCAACTTGTGCGTCATTGGACCTTCCAACAAGACAATGATTCCAAGCATACCTCAAATTCCACCAATGCTTAGTTGCAGCAGAAATCATCACAATTACCTGACTTGAATCCCATAGAAAATCTCTGGTGGGATTTGAAGAAGGTGGTTGCAGCACACAAACCCATGAATATTACTGAACTGGAGGCCATTGCTCATTAGCAGTGGGCTTAGATTTCTAAGGAGCGCTGCCAGAAGCTGATGTCTAGCTTTGCATCTTATTTTCAGCTGGTCATAACAAAAAAAAGAGTGCTCTGGTGCTCTACTAAGTGCTAAAGATGCTTGCCGTGAAGGGGTTGAATAATTTTAAGACATTCTTTATAAGTTGCATTTTCAGTTGAATTTGGGAAAACCACTTGAATCATTTACTCTAGATCAAATTGCAAATTAATGGCAGGTAATACCAGTTTGAAAGATAACACATTTTACTATCTAGATTAAACTATGGAATGCACTCAGTAAGAATATAATCTATGCAATCTATATTTGTAATTTGTAAACAGATTGAACATTATGACAAAAATAGAAAGGCAATCTATTAGTGGTTAAGCTTATATATTACAGTTGCAAGAAAAAGTATGTGAACCCTTTGGAATGATATGGTCTTCTGCACAAATTGGTCATAAAATGTGATCCGATCATCATCTAAGTCACAACAATAGACAATCACAGTCTGCTTAAACTAATAACACACAAAGAATGAAATGTTGCCATGTTTTTATTGAACACACCATGTAAACATTCACAGTGCAGGTGGAAAAAGTATGTGAACCCCTAGACCAGGCATAGGCAACCTTCGGCACTGCAGATGTTTTGGACTACACCTCCCATGATGCTTTGCCTGCATTATGGGTGTAAGAGCATTGTGGGGGATGTAGTCCACAACATCTGGACTGCCAAAGGTTGCCTACCCCTGCCCTAGACTAATGACATCTCCAAGACCTAATTGGAGTGAGATGTCAGCCAGCTGGAGTCCAATCAATGAGATGAGATTGGAGGTGTTGGTTACAGCTGCCCTGTCCTATAAAAAACACACACCAGTTCTGGGTTTGCTTTTCACAAGAAGCATTGCCTGATGTGAATGATGCACAAAAAAGCTCTTAGTAGACCTACGATTAAGAATTGTTGACTTGCATAAGCTGGAAAGGGTTATGAAAGTATCTCCAAAAGCCTTGCTGTTCATCAGTCCACGGTAAGACAAATTGTCTATAAATGGAGGAAAGTTCAGCACTGCTGCTATTCTCCCTAGGAGTGACCATCCTGTAAAGATGACTGCAAGAGCACAGCGCAGACTGCTCAATGAGGTGAAGAAGAATCCTAGAGTGTCAGCTAAAGACTTACAAAAGTCAATGGCAAATGCTAACATCCCTGTTAGCGAATCTACAATACGTAAAACACTAAACAAGAATGGATTTCATGGGAGGATACCACAGAGGAAGCCAATGCTGTCCAAACAAAACATTGCTGCACATTTACAGTTTGCACAAGAGCACCTGGATGTTCCACAGCAG